GCAGCATAAATTCAATGCTCTTTACCTGCAGTGCTAAGGCAGTTTGCCCTAAAGCATCAAGAGTGCCCAGGCAGCTGAAGATTTTTAGGTTTTGGTGTTACTGTGGCTGGTGTAAGGCCAGTTCTGCACATGCCTAGGAGTGCATGGAGAGGGAAGATCTTTCCCTGCATACCACCTCGCCCTTGTGTATTGAAAGTATAAATATGCAAAGTGTTGGCGCTTCTTCTCTTGGGAGACCAGGGTGAAACAGTCAGCAGTATGTGATGAGTTGCAAGCAGGTTTGAGGACATCCTACTGAATCAAACAATGAGAAGAAATGCCCACATTGAGGTTAGCTTTTCCTGGCTTCTGCTGAATGTAAAAAACATAAGGCTGCCGTGTGAGGAACAGTTTTCCTAACTTGGGCTTTGGCTCCATCATGGAGCTGTCCAGTGGGACATTATTTTCACTATCCTGAGGGAATGGATTCCGACCTTGCTACACTGGAATTGTGTTTTGATTCTCCATCACCTGCAATGACACACAACAAACCCCAGAAGTACCTACTGGTTTCTCCTGAAAGTCTGAATTGCTGGGTATTGGAAGTGCACAGTGTTGTAGACTTCAGTCTTTTGAAGAGTACTATGGACAGGATAGACACTAAGCATCTTTATGGACCAGGGTACCCTCTTTTTAATATCTCTGTGTTCAGAAAAGATGATATTCTTTCAAGGGGCCAACTTCAGTCTTTTTCACTGGTCAGTTCCTATACTAGCTGTGTCTCAATTGCCTGTGTAGCTATAAGACAAGTTTTCTCTGTTAAATGTATGCTGAAAGGAGGAAACTTTTAAATCTCTAATAGAATGAGGACAATGATTAATGGTGAAAATGGTCCAGAAATATGTCTGCAAAATCTGTCTTAATGCAGGTTCAAAGATTGATATTTTCAACATCGGCACAGAGATTCGAGGAGCTTGTTCTCCAGTCCCTAATGAAGATCTGTTTTCTCCAGCTTATAGATGCATTTTTTTTCCATTTGATCACTTTGTACTTCATTCATGTAAACTTGGTGGCTGATTTAATCCAAAATAGGCACTGCCTCAATAACTTATTTGGGAATATTTGTTCACAAAAATCAGACAGGAGAAGATTCCCCTGGAAAAGATGTATAGAATATGTGTAAAATGACTGCATCAATCACATAGGCCTAACTATTTAGCTATTCAAATGCATACTCATTTAATACATTTATGTTTTCTTTGTCCTAAAGAAAATACAAAGGAGACCTAGAATTTTACTGTTTTTATGCCAAGGACATATACTCATTCTAAATAAATACTTGATTTAGAATATGTCCTTAGCATAAAAAGTAAAATCAATGTACCATCTTTACATGTAAATTAAGGATTTAAACTTATATTTAAATCACTGGAGGAAGGGAAGTGATGCCTCTGTTTTCATCTCAATTCTTTTTAGTGGAGTTTGCAGCTTTTACCCTCATGAAAGACAATTTCACACTTCAAATGTTGTTGTTTGGATATTCTTGCCTAAATTTACATAAAACTTGAAGAAGAAATAATGGAAGGTGAGCATTCCTGTGCATTTTGGTTGTGAACACACTTCAAAAATTAATACTGTTAATTGAGGGAAGGACCATAAACAGTATTCCAGTTACTAACGAAGTAAAGCTATTTGCAGGAAGTCTGTGTGGTTAAAATAAATAACTGTGCTAAGCATATAGAGGATTTAGACATTCCTGTTTTAAGGAACATATTGCAGGGCCTGTTGGGAAGATCATGACTGGTTTTATTGCACTGAACCTGAAGACAGGCTCAGCTTTCATTAGTTTGGGAAGTGCCAGGCAATTTTTCTGAGAGAGATGAGGCTCACAAGATCATGAACCATTGACAAAACAGTTGTTACATTCGCAAAGTAGCTCACGTCTTCATAAGGAGGCAAGGATACTTTGAATTATACATATAAAGAAGCAATATTCTCCTCTCTGTATATTCATGCATTTTCTTTTTTTAAACCAGTGTGGTAGTCTCTGACTTAATTAAATGGGAGATTAAAAAAATGACTATTAACTGTGCACTCCAGCGTAAGCCATAGTACACTCCTTAAGAGCAGAAATGCATACCTGTCATAGTTTTTAAAGCTTATTATTTTCATTAAGGACCAGGCAAGCCAGTGTTTTGGCTTAATGATGAATGTGGACTGTACTGAAACACTGTTTCGCAGGTCCAAAGACAGCATGAGGAGGTTTTCCTAAAAACTCTGCATGTGGAAAAAACTGCTTGCTCTGCCTGCAAGAAATACAGGGTTTTTTTTTTTTTTTTTTTTTTTTTTTTAAATTCTTCAACATGAAACTAAAAACATGTTAAACCAAGATTGGAATTTTCAGTGTTGTGCAATTTTCTGGTTATTTTATTGCATTGTTCAGTTGATATTTCAAATGACAGTTTTTTTTGGAGGCGGGGGGAATTTTCTTCCACATGTGCTAATGTTTCTCTCCAAGCTACAGCATTTGCCTAATTGTTATAGTGCCCTGGTGCTAAAAGAAGGGAGAAAATGGTTGTGGCTGTGCCTTGTACCACTGAAGTCAGTGGGAACTTTGTCAATATTCAGAGGGAAGGAGATTAGGACCTGTAAAAGCTCCTTAACCAGTTAAAATAACTCTCTTAGGTTCTTTTATTCCTTTTCTGTTTCCTTTGCCTTTGGCCCTGGCTCTTATCCCCTTATTTACATAACCATGAGAAGCTGCATTAATTTCAGGTGTGAGACTGCCAAACCAACTTTGAATTTCTTTGACTGTTCTGGCTCTTTGTGCTTTCAGCGCAGTGACGAGGGCCGTGGACTAACTAGATCTCAGCAGCTGAGATACTGGTGACTCACTGCTTGGAGAGCTGTCTCCCATTTAGACTCATCAGTCCATGTCTACATGTGTCATGGCAGGTATCCATTCTCTCATGAATCACTTTATTTGCTTTCCTTATTAGATACACCCCATGTCATGCAGTTAAAGTGGTCAGAGAAGAACCTCATACTTCCACTGTAAGTGACTGTAGAATCAAATCCTGAGAAGGTAGGATCCAGAAGAAGAGGTTGAGAGGGAATAAAGCAATAAAATAAGGTGTACTGCTGGAAAAACTGTGGAGAGAAAAAGAAAGAAAGATGTGAAGAATAAAGGAAAGAAAGATGTGAAGAATAATCTCTAGAGCACAAGACTTCAGCTGAGAAATGAAAGTAACTTCAAGGCTGAATAAAAGGGAGAGAGAAGTGAAAATAATGAAGTGGTAAACCCACATGAGCAAACTAGAAAGCTATGGTTAGGACCAACAAAAACAAATGATAAGCAGAAAAAGCAAGACACAAAATATTCCTATGTGGAAGCCAACACAAATGATCAGGATAGCAACTTGACATGCTTTTCAAACATTTGAAGGAAAGAAAATGAAGGAAAGAAATGAGCAATATGAGAGGGAAAAAAAAGAGAATATGGCAATACAAAAGACTGGCTTCTATTAAATAGTTTCTCAGAGTACCCCTTGCTGTTTGAAGTATAGATCAATCAATATAAAGTAACCTTAAAATGAGAACCATGATGAGGCTGCTTAAGTTCCCGCTGTACTCAGTGGGCATTCAGCTCACCAGGTGCACTTGCTGTAGGATGACCTGGGCTGCTCTCTAGACTCCGGTGACTAATACAGGCCTAGCTGAGTAAGGTCTTGGCTGACCGTAATGGGAGTTCAGACACCTTTCTGCTGCATGGACACCTACATGTTGGAGCCTGAATCTGTGCACTAAAATCCTGCTCCTCAGGCCACACAGCACTGAAGGGGCCTCTCTAAGTCAAGGCTCGTTGCATACTGTGCTGTGTGCCTGGGATCTTGGCCTCTGGCAGCAGTCCCAGCCCTGCCAAAGGCTTAAAAACATCTAAGGTAGCACATCGGAAACATCTAAGAGAGAAAAGAAAATGAGAAATGGTTGGGTCATTTGTTCTTGTAAGGAATAATTATAAAACGTAGGGCTGTGTTATTTAAAACTCAGTTCACTTCAAGGATGTTGACAATGCTTCCTCCTATATTTTCTGCATGTATTCTTAGAAGACAAGTTTTCAGAAGGCATAAGGGCTGGGAATTTGAAACTAGTCTGAGAGAGAAGAGTCAGTTTTGTATTTATAATTACAGGAATTTGCTGCTGTGTCTAATAGAAACTCTAACTTAAAGAATTTTGTTTAGCTTATAAAGTAAAAATAAACATTACAGGTCAAATTCCTTTTTTCATAATAAATTCTTTAACTCAAAAAAAAAAAAAGAAAAATATTAATGAGTTGGATTTTTCACACTAGAGTGATCTAATGCAGAGAAGACTTGCTGTGTTTGTGGTTAAAAGGGGATGAGGTTAATTTCATCTTCCCAAATGCAATCTCTTTCTCCAGTGACAGGACATAGTGTTTCGAATTTAATTACAGAGGTGGATGGGTCAGATTTGGGTTAGGGTGTGGGCATGGATTTATAGCCCTGTTCCTCCTTGTAAAAGCTGAGAAAACTTGTTGTCTGGACCCATCTTTTCAATTAATTTGCAGTAATTAAAGTATGATGGGCGGGATGAGGCTAAAATGAAATGCAATTCAAATTAAATCTTTCTTCTTTGCTATCACCATCCTTATTTACTTTAAACTATCTTCAATGCTCTGATGAGTTTTAAGTCTTCCTGTATCACACACTGTGCACGCAGAAATATTTGAGTGAACTGTTGCCAATAGCTCTGAGCAAGAGAGGGGCATGTTTCAGATTACACTGAGTTTTGTTGTTCTGATCTGATCTCCTTCCTAGGAGAGGCTCAGAAAGGCGGCTCTAGGGGATTTAGTTCTAGCAGCAGCAGCACATGATCTATCCATCGCGTGATTCTCACCACCGAGGACTAATGGGGAGGGTAAGGAGAAAGCTAACAGTGCCCTGTGGAAGCAACAGCAGCTTCTTCTGCTCGTGGGCCTCCTCCGCCAGCTGGGCTCCTCCATGGCTTCTCCCAGGTTGGAAACCTACTGCTGCCCTAACCGGGATGCAGCCACGCAGCTGGTGATGACCTTCCAGCCCAAAGTCTTCTGCGGAGTCTGCATTGGCAGCGCCTCTGTCAGTCTGCTGCTCACCATCCTGCAGCTCCTGCCCAAGAAGGGACAGAGTCCACGGAAGATGCCCAAAGCCTCTTCCTCCGCCACCATCCTCCTCCTCATCTCTGCTTGCGACATCCTCGGTGGCTTAGGTAAGGATCAGCTGGACGTCCCTCGCCCTCGCTGTGGCAGGCTCACGGTGCTTTGAGGTGCACCAGCCAGATAGGCTGGTTAGTGGCCAGAAGGGATTTCTAAGGGAAATTTCATGTACTTAGGGCAAGATCTGGGCTAAATGAGATCAGAAAATGATAATTTTTGGGGGAGGAAATATGTTGCTTAATAGGTAAATTTAAAGGTAACAGTTCTTGACGCATCTACACCAAAATCTTCACTTTAAAAAAAGGAAAATCTGGAACAGTGGCTGGTTCTTAGAGGAACGCATGGAAATGGAGGCGAAGGAGAATATTTTAAGACTAAGCTTAGCATCCAGAATTTAGCTGATCCTAGGAAATATTAAAAGCACTTGCCTTGTATCTTTAAGTCCTCCCCCACAAGGTTCACACTGGTGTTCAAATGCCAGTCACTTCTCTGGGCATTGACAGCAAATTAGTCTGCATTGCAGCCGTACACAGATCATGCTGGACACTGGCTTTTGAAATGTGAGAGAAGCTCCCTTATCAAGGACAACCTGCTGCCCACTCCCTGAGCGATGGGCTGCAGCAATAAAACAGCAGAGCCGGACACTCATTAGTCAAAATGAGACTGCTGTGCCTGAATCTGTCATGTTGGTTCATGCCATTTGCTGCCAAATGAGGTATAAATTACTACTACACTGCTGTGAAAAATTGTGAGTTTTTTTTTCCACAATACTTTCTTTTCTCACATTGCATTTAAAAAAGTAATACTGTTTTGTCAATCTCTAACTGTTAAGGAAGGGGGTAGGATTTTGGATCTTTATCCAGTATTTTTCACAGTACTTAGGAAGAATCAGTATTAAAAGAATGGATAGACTGGGAGAAAAAAGAGATGTAAAGTGTGTGCATTACCTGGAAAAGATCTTTTCAGTCAGAGGAGGCCAGAAAGAGATAAAGTTATTTTTCTCCCGTACTCTCTCATCGGCAAACTAGAAGTATTTATCCTGTATTGTCTTTGAATGAAACTCACTTCAGTAGGTGGGAAACCTTTCTCACTAGGTGGGAAATCTGGGGGGTTTGTTACTCTATTTGCTAGCACTTTAATGCCACTTTCAAGGAAACACAGAAATTCTTGCTAGAAGTTTGTAAGTTCATTTAAAAAAATGATATTGTTCTCACCTAATTCTGAAATCCTGCCTGTGCAGTCCTTTAGGAAACAGAAAAAGTGTTGCTTGTAAAAATGAAGACAGTAAAAAATGTGAAATTACTTTTTCTGAAAGAGGAATTAAAGAGAAGTCAACATTAGGATGTGAAAATAAGCAGGTAAAATGGTAGATAGGTAGATACTGTTTTATGTCAATCTGTTAAATGCTACCCAACTCATTTTACCCTAGTGTTTGACAGTGTCTGTAGGTCAGTGAGATTTTTAAGCTGCAGAGCACAGCATTTCAAGTCCCAGCAACTTAAAACTGCGCTGCTGCTTTCACCAGGAGATTACACTGACATTTAAATAGTGCAGTTGTTTCCTGCTCTTTCCGTCTGCAGCTCTAGCCTTCTTGGTAAAGCACAAAATCTAGGCTACGATGTGAAAAATGTGGCCGGGAACAAGCATGTGACTTAAATCACGTTAACACATTCAAAGCACTAATGCATTTCTTCTTAGGTATGATCTTCAGATCGAGTGTGTGGTTAGGCTTTCCAGGCTTCATAGCTAACATTTCCGTGGCGAACGGCACCGACGTTTGGCCTTCTGCTTTCTGTGTGGGCAGTGCGGTAGGTATCGAGACCGTCTCCGTTTCGTCTTGTTCACAGAGCCTTTTTGTGGGCAAGCGGTTGGATCCAGAAGGAAATTAAACTGTGAGTCAGCGTCTAAATAGGGCGGCTTCCAGCGCCTGCCACACCTGTGCGTGTGTTTTCCCGCCTCCCGCCGGAGCCCGGGCTCCGTGTGGGCGGGCTGCGAGGCACCCTGAGCGCCAAGGAGCGAGCGAAAGCCCCTGCGCCAGCTTTTCAGGGCAGGCCTAACCCCAGGTCAGACGTACAACTGCATTAACAGCAGAGACGTTGCCAAACTGCCCGTGAAATGCCCTGGTGGGGCCCTTGCTGGCCCAGCGTCACTAGTGACACAGGGACCGCAGCGCACCCACAGTGTGGGCTTGTTTGGCCACCCTCTCCGCCAAAATTATATCCGGTGGTGATACCGTATTCTAACTGCCAGCTGAATCCAGCAACGCAGGGAGCTTAAATTAGCTTCCTCAATGCGACACTGTGTGTTTTAGTCACACATGAACTACAGGATAAATAAACCTGAAGATGCAAACTACAGGCTTTCCTCGCCACGTATACTGCTGCTGCCTGGATGCAGGTGTTCATAAAGGGCTGCATCTGCTCAAATGCTATTAAGCATCTGCTGGTTTAAAAGCTATAGAATATGAAAAAGCAAATGCATTCCAAAAGTACAAACTTTCTCTGTTTCAAGCATTACAATCACAGCTCTGAGGTATACAATGTGAATTTACTGGAAAAGGGAGAAAGTCACAGGTCTCCAATACAGGGAGAATAACAAATAAGACAAAACATCAATTTATTCAGATTTAGTAGGAATATAGGGTCCACAAAGAATAGAATTAGCTCTGCAATCCAAAACCTACAATAAGGATATGCTGCATAAAAACAATTATTCAGTGTCAGTGGATTTTAAATAAAACAATGCCTTATACTATAACTTTTACACCTGTATGAAGGGAAATAAGAGGTTTTACTGTAGATACAGATATCACACACACCTATCGTTTCTCTATTTTCCATCATACATGTTTAAGTTTTGCTTGTAAGATGCAGTGGACTTCTTTTTGTTTGTTTGTTTGCTTTTGTTGTTGTCTTTTTTTCTTTAAGGAAAGGCAAAGCAATAACACCAAAATCTTGTAATAGGAAAGTTCTAGTCTAAAAACCATATTTCTATATATCTTAAATTTCAACTTCTGGCCCTTAACGCAGGAAAGAGTATTTTTAAACAGTGAGAAAGATGCTCTGTGTAGATTGTTTGCTTTTCATTTTGATCTCAGGTTAGATGGTGAATAACATGGCAACCTACCACAATTTCTATTTTTGCTTTCTTGGGACGCAGCAGAAGTGCTGCAGTTTGAGACTCATACTAAAATTAAATTTAATTATATTGAGTTGAAAAATGACCCTCCTTCCACTCATTTCCTCTAACATATTCTCATATGAGTTTATAAAATGTTTCTGCTTCTATATTAAGTTTCTTTTAGTGCTACTGTTTTGTTTACGGGAAAACCAATAGAAATTTGAAAAAAGGTCTCTCCTTTGTATAACACCTTGTGATTTGCAGATGGATACTCTCTCAGGCACTATTGCAAGATGTGACATTTTACCAAAAAGTAGCATATGAAGATTTTGTTCCTTGGGTACATGTGGTTTCAATATTTTTGAGATGGTCTTGTCTATACCAGATTTTCCAGATGGAGAGACCCCACAGTTTAGCTTTGATATGGATATGTGTACATGTAAAGAATTGTTCATTTCTTAACTGCAACAAATATGTGCAGGTGCAGATTAAGTTACAAGCAGAGTGGAATGGATAAAGTGCCTTAGAAAGAAGACTGAATGTAATTTTACGTTCAGACTCCTGTACACTAGCAATATGCCACATCATTTGAATTAAATGCTGAATAATTCATGTCACAAATGACTAGATGTAGAGTCTACACCCATGATAAAAGGAAATATTTCCCAGCTTGATTTACCTTTTGGAGAAAGGAATGCCAGATCTTTATTCACTGGTGTTTGGCTCAGTAACAAGTATGTTGGTTTCCATCTGTAAAAAGATGCCAGTATGGAGCCATGACAAAGGATACTCAGATAAAAACTGAAAGAGGAACTCAGAGGAAAGGTAATTTGAATATTAAAATAGTTCCAGGCTAATGAAAGAATATGCCACAAAGAGACAGCTCCTATGGGGAAGAACTCTGGAATTTATAAACACAGGCAAAGAAAGTTCAATTATATATATACTCATGGGAAAAATGTATATGGTCAGCTCACAAGTGCAGTGGAATTTAACTTGACTTGAATCTGTGCCTAGAGTTTTCTTTCTAGATTTTTACTGAAGATATTAATCGGAGAGTTTGGTATGGATAATTTTTCCAGAGTTTTTTTTTTTTTCAGCTTATTGCCTTTTTTTCCTATTTATTTTTTCCTGTCCCGAGTTCTTGGGAAAGAAGGGTATTTGAGAAAGCACCCTTTGCCCTCAGAAGCCCCAGTGCAAAGGCACATGGTGGTGATGACTGACATCAGCTATTTTTCAAGTCTTAGACACTGAGAAATTACTCAAATTTTAAGCTGAAACTAAAACATCCACACTGTAGATTGTTATTGAAGACATAAGATACTCAGGGCTAAGACTGGAGAGGTAAATAAAGGATTTTCTAAGCAGCAGAATAGGCTGAGGAAACAAGCACTGGATGATTTATCTGTGACTAGATCTGTTGGCTACAGCAGTTTTGTTCCTGGGATTTTGAGTGGCGTTTCATACTTCACAATCTGAGCTGCAAAATACACCCATTCAGTGAAGACGCCACCGGGTCACAGATTTGGCTGCTGTTTCCCCAGCCCACTGCCCCTGTGTTTCTAGAGACTCCATGAACAACTGTGACATTTTGGGTTTTTTTTCCTGCAGATGTGGATCCAGCTGTTATATAGTGCTGGCTTCTGGTGGTTGTTTTGCTACGCCGTTGATTCTTACTTGGTGGTAAGAAGATCAGCTGGACTGAGGTACCAGAGTTAAAGCCCTAAATGTGTTAATTTCCTTGCAAAGCTCTATGTCCATGCCTATGGGCAGATATCTCAATGCATAAATGGAGCTTGTGCAGCTTTGATGTCCACATGGCTACCAGATGTATGGGTGAGTGTGTGTGCTAAGTGCTCGCATTGCCAGGGAAGTGCTCAGGTATGGGTTTGCTTATGCCCATCTACCATTTAAATGTAGCTGAATTTGTTTATAAATCAGGTGCAGTGTTGGTGCTATTGACTCCATTGCAGCAGGATATTAGTTTTGACCCTTCTCCATACCTGAAATTGGATCTTGTGGCAAAAAAAGCTCATTATCCTGAAAATAAACAAATGGAGAGCATAGTGCAGATTTTCATGTAGTTCATTCTCTGGGAATTTTTCTCAGATTTTCTATTTTAGATACTTTTTAGTATTGTAATAATAACATTCCTGATTGCATTTGCAGACCCTTTAAGAAGAAAAGACCATGTGCTTGCTCTGTTTTTCTGCAATGCTTATAACTGAATAACCTAAGCACTTCAGAAGAAAAACATGCTATAATGCCAGACATAAAATATATAGTGTTTCTAAGTTGGCTATTAGGAGGACAAAATGACCTTCAGTTGCCTCTGCTAACCACAGAATTATGTGATAATGTACCCAGATGATACCGAGTAATCAGATACTGGAGACATGGTTCATTTCACAGATGTTATCAAAATGGGGATTTTTGAGCTCCAGCTAGACATAATCCCTGCCCGTGAATGACAAACCTTATTTTGTAAAGTCACATTTCTTCTCCAGAGCAACTGGCCCTGACTCCTTCCCTCACAACTATTCATGGGAAAAAAAAAATGTGTATGGGTCTGGTTATAAAATCAGAGTAGTCGATCGAGGGCTTTCTGTGCAGCCGGATCTGTCATTCCCTAAGAAAGGAGCTGAATCTGAATCATACCTAATGATTTGCAAACTACTAAAGGGTAGTTTATGTGACCGTTTGGCCCCCTTATGTTTTTCATCCCCTAATCTGCATTCCGTAGGAAAAACTGAAGGACGCAGGAGGCCTTCTGGAGATATGGGGATGAGAGGAAGGTTTTCCATGCTGTAGGCTTTGACTCATGCTTTTCCTGGAGGCCCCTGCTCCACCTGCTGTCCTCAGTTACTGTACTGCCTGTGTTGTTTGCACCATTTCTTGTCTGTAAAGATCTGTATGTGGGAGGGTCCAATTTCTATGTTGCAATGTGGAAAGCATGAGGTCTAGTACCTTAACCTTCTGTCCTGTTTGGTGTGCTTCCAGCACCATTGTCCTGTACCACATGATGACGTGGGGCCTCGCAGCTCTGCTCTGTGTCGAGGGAGTTGCGCTGCTTTACTACCCTTCTCTTTCCAGGTAAGCAGGAGTCTGGAGACAACCTATGAAATAGTATCACTGTGTGAACATTTGAAGGTTCCCCAGTCACTCTGAGAGACACAAATGTAAAGGATGTTCCAGTGAGTCAGCTCAATCCTCCAAATATCCAAACATGGGTTTTTGGTGGGCCCTGAAGGCAACACAGCCCCTTAAGGATGTTGCGGATCTGTGATATAGCTTCTCCTATGAGCCTCTGGAGCTCATGAAGGCCTTGTCAGGGCAGCTGGGCAGGGAGCGCCTGTCCCATCCTCCTGCTCTCGCATTCCTAGTTTAGATTGTGTTTGTTTCTTTAAAAGTGAGAAATATTCACAAATGTTACCATGTTAATTATCAACTTCATGACCCAGGTGAACTGGTTGTGAATTAGATGTTTAGCATCTGGTTACTTTTTTTTTTTTTTTTTTTTTNTTTTTTTTTTTTTTTTTTTTTTTGAGATTGATAGAATAACCTGAACTATCACATGTGTGGGGAAAAAAAAAAGTGAACAATCTGAATAATTTCTTTTCAGCTGTGAAAACGGCCTGGAGCATGCAGTTCCACACTACATCACAACCTACGTCCCACTCCTGCTAGTGCTGGTGGTCAACCCAATCCTGTTTAGAAGGACAGTATCAGCAGGTATGCTTCTAATGGCCAACATGAGTTGGTATTTAGCAAAATAATAGTAACCTATAAAAGGTTGGTCCCTTCCTAAGTCCTAAGAAATACAACAAAAATGGGAGGGAATTGCCTCTTGAAGAAATAAGATACTATCTACCTGAAAAATTTGCCCTACAGACACACTTTGGTCATGTACTCAAGTTATGCTGTTATAAACCTCTACTGTAGAAAGGCAAAGGTGTTTCCATAATGCACGGTGACTCTGGATTTAAAATATTTCAGACAAGTATAACATGGAGGTTTAAGCCTACTGTAGTAATGGTTCCAACTTGAACTGTGCCATGTAATTTTATCTGCTAATGTTGGTGAGATCTGATAGCTGAATTAGCTTCTCTGCAGCTCTATTGAAGATAATTAAATGTGATCAGAATTTTGCTACTCCTGATTCTAAGATTATGAAATAAATGGGAGCTCTATACAACCAGTTGGGGCCTTGATATCCCAATTTAATTTACTCTCTAGCACATCAAAGAAATGATCCTGCAATCAAAAGCCACTGATTCAGTGAATTCTTTGCAAGAAATATTACCAGTACTGTATGTTTTCAGTACCTGAATTCATACTTACCATCTACACATTATATATTTTTATTATATAAAAAGCCAGGAACAGAAGACATCATATTCTAAGTTCCTATTTCATCCAGTCTACCTTACATTCCTCAGCAATACAGCAGTACCATTTTCAAAGGAACAGCTGGGAAAATCTGTGAAATATATTTTATAGCTAATTAGTTCTACTGTGGCATCTGCTATATGTTTTATTTAGTTGGAGACCCAGTGTGCCAAAGATTTGGCACATATACTAAAAGGTAACCCTTATTTGCATCGTTATGTCATTCTTGTGACCTATACAAAGAACTGCATTTGAGTACTCACCAGTTTATACAGGAGAATATTTTCTTTTTAGAATAAAATAGGATATCTTTTAGCATAAAGAAAGCAAGGAATGAACTCAAACCCTGAGACCAAAATGTTCTATAAGCAAATACAAGCATATAAGCCTTAACCTATAAAATGCTCATTATCAAAGATATGTTACCCTCTGCAATTTGTAAAAAACAATGAATTGGTAAGCACATTCAGCGTTAGCTACCATTTTTGTATGGTTTGAAGGCACAGATATTGTTTTAAAGTACCTACCTGATAATCAGTAAACTTCCATATCATAGTTCAGCCCCAAGTAACTGAAGTAACTAGTACTGAGACAAGAGAGTGCTGGTGATATAGCAAGATAGAACAAAATATTTTTCTACAGTCATCAGCAAAGGTCTTCAGTGACGAAATAAATAATGAATGTACATACCTGTGTGATATGTATCTGTGTGTGTCTCTGCTTTAAGTTTGTTTAAGTGTGTTTAAGTGCTTTATGTTTGTTTAAGTATGATGCCTTTTGTTTGCTCTGAAGTGAACAAGCAGTATTTTCTCAGACAACTCCATTTTAACTCTAACAACTTAATGGTTTCTCTCCATTTTCTAAGTACAGCAATAATGAAGAAAAGGACCAATAAGAAAGAAAAAGCATGAAAGTCTTCTTGATGTGGTCTATTAAAAAAGAGAAAGCCAAGTGAGAATGTAACTAGAACTTAAAAAGCAAAGTCTTCTCATTGACTATAGAGGATAGTGAAAGAAGGATTGCACTTGAACTTTAATAAATGTAGTCAAACCAAGAAAACCTTTAGTATGGTAAGGATTAGTAAAGCACTGGAATAGCTTGCTCAGAGATCTCATTTTTCAGCAAGCTCTTTAAGGCTGCAAATAACACACCTAGATATAATTGTCTTACTCAGGGCCAGGGAATGGATTGGATAATCTCTCAAAGGCCATTCTTTCTATGGGAAAATACACAGTGAATATGTTTGTATTTGTGCATATGTATATTCTAGTACATGACATAACTGTCTCTTTTGCTGACATCGCACTTCATTGCACCCACCTCACACACAAGTTTCCAATGTTTAGCCATAGCTCTATCAATTGAACAGCTAAGTGAGAGCTAAATGAGAGCATAGGATGGAATGTATTCTAAATATCATATAATGTATCATATTGCTCATCAGATAAAAGTTTCAGACACTACTTTTTAATTATAAAAGAAAAGATTGTTGACCATACTAACTATTTTCTTTATTCAATTGAGACTTCAATTGACTGAGAGAGGAAAGAAGACATAGTGGAATACCACTTTTTAGTATTTTAGGTATTAGGTATTAGGTTTTAGTATATTAGGTATTTTAGGAATCCATAATAGACATGCTTATTTTCCTTGAGTATTAGGCTGCGTGTTAGATTGCTTGGTGATGGTCCATCATCCAGCCCTGATGTGCTGCTAGGGATAAATCCATTTCTCCCTTTGGTATCTTTTTTGCAGACATCTGTTTTCTGGATCTCTGTGCTATAAATAACAAGATGCATGTATGTTAATGAACACAATTGTATACTTTCCAGTTGCCTCCTTACTGAAAGGGAGACAAGGAATTTACACAGAGAATGAGAGGCGCCTGGGGATGGAGATCCAGATCCGCTTTTTCAAAATCATGCTGGTATTCGTTATATGGTAAGCGGGTGCATTATTTTGTTTGAAATTGCTTGTTTTTTTTTCCCCCAACTGGAGACACTCAGGGTGAAAAATAAGCTCTGGTAGCTTGTTTCAATTTATGTCAAAGCCAAAGCTTCTAAGGAACAAATTCACAAATTAACTAAAGCAGCAGTGTAGCATAATAAGGCAGTAAGGAAATGATAAAAATGTTTATGCAACAGTAACCCCTAGAAACAAGAGAAAAAAGATGTTTGGACACAAGTGAAATGAATAACTGTCTGGAGCAGCAGCTGTCCAGTACCGTGAGCTGATAGACAGCTCTTTGCACTCAAGATTTTTGAGAGCCCACTCCCTTGTCATCCAACATTGCATTGAAAACATACAATATATAAGCTTCTAAGGCTGGCTTCAGGCCGTGGACTGTGGTTATATTTCACAACTGCCTCTACAGTCTGTGTCTGCAGATCACAAGTGTGAGAAAGAAGTGCAGCATATCAGTTGGAAACAGAGGAACTGCCATGGTTACACTCTAGAAAAGAAACATCTCTGCTCTTTGTGAGTTTTCTGGACATTCAATCTCTTTCCTGTTCTTCCGTCTTCTTCCATGAAATAGGACTTTCAAGGCAGGGCAGGAAAGTAGTAAAAGAATCTTAGAACCATTATGGTTGGAAAAGATCTTCAAGTGCAGTTGGACTTGAGGGAGTGTACTCATGCTTATCTCCAAATCCCTTGCTTCCCTGTTCTAGCACACAGTTTAGTGCAGACAGTGCTGGAGTGGCTGCTGGAACAGGAGGCGCTGGATGCACACAACGTCACTGAGCAGGACTAGAGCCTGCCTGAAGGCAATGTTTTCTACTGCAGTCTCATAATTATAGCACAGAAATAAAGGCTCCAGAAGGATTGTTAATCCAGTCTTCAAGGGTCTGTGCAAGGACCTGGCAAGAAGTGGTCACTACCATAAAGTGTTTGCTATTTACATAGGTAATACAAACAACAGGAAGACTGCCCTGGAGTAGAGAAATAGCTTTAGATTTAGTAGTGTGTACAACTACTTAATATAACAGTACTTATATATTAAGTATATATTATTAGTATATACTAATATATATAAAGTATATATTATAATAACTTAATATATATACTTAATAAGTTAATTTAGTATTAACTTATATACTTAATATAACTACTTAATACATGTATGCATTAATGCATTCTGTATTGCTTTTAAAGATGGAGGAGGGAGCAAGGCTGTCCTTCTTGTCCTGGCTGCTCTGTGCAGAGGGCTCTGGAGGGAAACTCTTTTCTTTGGAAATTCCTGCACTTGCTTGGCTTGGGAGAGAGGTTTCTGCTATGCAGGGTGGGGTGGCCAGAGGGAAAGAGCGAGCAGGGAACCAGCCTGCAGGCCAGCTATTTGGGAAATCGCTGAGAATAATAAGGAGCTTCAAGGCTCCAATAGCCAGGCTTCAAAGGTATGGAAAGAAAGGAGCCTCATTTTAGAGCCCAGAGGGACTGAAAAAATGCAGTTGCAACCTAAGAAATTGTGGCCAGATTGCTAGCCTGGAAGCAAGCATCAAAAAGGGACCAGCTGAACAAAGACACAATGGGGACATTTATTTAGTTCCATTCTATCTCCTTCTGCATTTTCCTATAAAAAAATAATTACACTTTTATGTTTGTTGTTGTTCTTCTGATAGAACATGATCTTTAGAGTGCTGAAACTTTTAGCATTCGCCATGCAGTAGGACTGAGACAATCCTTCTGGAGGCCCTAGGAAAGTGGCATTTCCATTGCAAAGTTCAAATATGAGACTGGTTAGTCAAGGATAGGAAGGCAGCATGGGATAAAATAGAGGCCTGCAAATTTGGGAGAGAAGAGCAGAAGGTTTTATGCTCTGACAGAAACATAAGCATAGGAAGGACATGTATAAACTAAAGTGTGACATGGGCTTTTTCAAGGTGCAGTAGAAATACAAAGAAAGACTGCTCTGACTGTTTGGAAGTCCTAATAAATAATAACTATTATTATTTATTATCTTTACTATTTATTATATTTATATATATTTATATATGATTATGTTATTATTATTATTATTTCTAGTAATACCATTTTAGTTTAGTCCTTATTTAACACATAATATTCACAATGTCTTTTTCACAGCAAGAGGTTTGATTATGGCCATCCTTCACAAGAACAAATATGACCTTTATTCCTGGAGTTTGTTGGCATTTTAAAGATTTTAGCTGTTTTACTTTATTTTACAGAGTTTTGAAAGTCTGTTCTACTCTAAACTGAAATGTTAGGATATTTAGCAGCACTTGATTTTCTGCAGTCTTTTACAGACTATTTGAGTATCTGTGAGTGTCTTCTTTTCGGTGTCTTATTTTTAAGACACAAAGATATGTATAAACGTAAAATTGTTTTATTTTCTTCCACTTTCTTTCTTTCTGACAGCTGGTCATCCAATATTATCAATGAGAGCCTTCTGTTCTACCTCGAAATGCAGCCAGATATCAATGAAATACCACTGAAAAATATTAGAAATGCTGCACTGATCACATGGATTATAATGGTAGGTTAACCATAACATTTCCTGATTCTACAGAATAGTCTTGTGAGGTTGGAGTAGTGGCATTGGTATTCTGTGTGGTTTTAATTTTGGAAATATAAAAACTTTTTGACTATAAAAAAAATCAGGGGAGGAAAGCTGAAAGTAGGAGCTGTCTCTGGGAGTGTTTTTCACATGTATTTTCCAGTAACCAAAAAGTACCAAAGAAGAACTTTTTTTCTATTTCTGGAGTATGAATTCTCTCTCTCAGTAATTTGTATCCATTTAAAGGTACAGAATAGACCACTATAATGTGTTCTGGTCTAACCCTTTTAACCTTGCTGTAACACAAGCTACAGGATTTCAGTTCCCCCCAAACATGGTTATTTTATGATATTCTTTGTTTGTAATAGCAGTTTTCTGTATTACTGACTTATAAAAATAATTAATGGTTATATCATAGTATATGGATGATTATTTGAGGGGAAATACATGAAAAATCTTGAAAGCAATGGACAAAAAGATATTGGACTCTAACTGTGCTCTGCCCTCATTTATCCCTTTGGAATATTTGACAGTGGATTTTCTGGAAAAGATAACATGGGTTTCTGTTTCAAGAGAGTTTATTTTAGAGCTATCATACCTATAAGGCATAAACACTTGGTGAGCTAAGTCCCTGTGCTCTTTGTATTCAAAGCCTAAGTATTACAGTTTGTTCATCTGACAGGAATACTGTTCACCTGGAGAGCAAGAGGCCAGGTCTAGGAACTGACCTCTACAGCCAATTTTTTAAATTGGCTGTAAAAATAGTTTTCTGTTTTCATGCAAGAAAAATGGAACTATCTAAAACCATCTTCTACTTGCCAGGAACCACCAGGCAGTGAGAAGGTAGATGATTTTTGGGGGGAAATCATTTGGGATTTTTTTGTGTGTCTCTTCTCTTTTTTTCCATCAGATTTAATGGACATCCTCTCTGATCGAGAAATCTGCAGCAGTTCCAGACAGATCAATTACTAGTGTTTAAAAAAAACTTGATTTATATGCTAATGTCTCATATAGTCTCATATATTGGGCTTGGCTTCTAGTGTAAAACATACTATTTGGTTTTGTGAGTTTAAAAGTGTACAACGAGTGAGGAGCATCACAACTCACTGGGGTACTGACCAGATGAAATTCTTGCTAGAAAACTCTTTGGCCTTAGTTTTGGTGGGAAAGCCTCATCATATGGAAAAAACAGTTTGTGGTATCTCACTCTGATTTGTTCCTGTCTACAGTATCCACAACCTACACTTTTATTTGGATGCAAATACCATCTTTGAAAACCAATTGTTCAGGGTAGGGAAGCTGCTAATTCACGCTGAACATTTTGCTAGAGTTCAAGTTCCCGCCTTGCTAAGTGTAACTGCTATTGCACCTCTCCTCTTTCCCAGGGTGTCCTTAATCCCATGCAAGGCTTCCTCTTCACATTAGCTTTCTATGGCTGGACGGGATGGAGAGTGGACCTGAAATGGCAAAAGGGAGAAATACCCTGGGAATCGATGTCCTCGTCGACCGCGGGTGAAAACGCTTTCCCCTCACCAGTGAACTACCAAAGCAACATCCATGATTCAAAGAAGATATCCACAACTGACAGCCAGCAGACCGATGAGGCTATAAGTATGTTGTCTGAAGGTAATACTAGTGGTGACGACAGGTTAGCCAGGAGCTCTCCCATCTACCAGGGCTGGTAGGCTATAGGTGCACAGCTGAATCTTACTTCCCTCTGTTGTGAGGACCAATAAAATCATGGCACTGTGTGAACCGTTACTTACTCTGGAATTAGGTGCATGGCTAATGTTTTGATGTCATTTCTTGCAACTTCTGTGTGTGTGAGGCAGAGAGAAATTATGGAAAATGTCTTCCTAGAGGATGTAGAAAGCTACAAAGGCCTGTTCATTTCTTAGCTGGAATATATCTCTTCAAGGACCTGTGTTACTTATTATTCATTTTCCTCCATTTTATTTTAACCTCTCTTGTATCCTTCATTCAGTAGAAAAGTCTTTTGTTTAAATAAATGTACTATTCATGTGTTGGGTTTTTAAATGTGTTCCCTTACTTGCCTTGCTCAACATAAAGCTTCTTACCCAAAACAACAGCTCTAGGATTTCTGAGACATGTTTTTTTTTCCCACCAGTACTCAGATCATCTAGATTTCTTTTGCAAATACTATCTCTTAATGCAACTGTTCTCCTTAATAGCCATGGTCATGTTAGAGGAGTATATATAAGGATCCAGCTGAACCCAAACTGACAAAAAAATGTCACTTTGGAGGGTCACTTTTGCCTGAATCAGTAGTGAAATAGAACCATTATTCTGAAGCCTGTGGTTGATCAGGAGTGTGTTTGCCAAGTGGATCTCCTGATGGTCCTGTGCACTGTGCTCGCTTCGTGTTGTGGGACAGTCTCAGAGCACCTGCATCGATTTCTTCTTGGGTGAAACCACTTATGTCCTCCATGGGTCACCAAGGACGTGCCACCTGGGCATCCCAGGCTAAGACTAGATCTATTCTGAAATTAAAAAAAAAGAAAAAAAGAAGAAATTAAATAGAGTAGATGTCAGGTCCTCACCACTGTGTCGCTGAGTCGCTGAACGGATAGACTCCTTTTCCCATAGCACACTAGTGTAGACATAGCCCCAGGGAGATGAATATTCCTGAATGCTTTGATCCAGATACACCACTCACTCCTTACGTAGATACGTGGGCAAACTAAATAGGAGCCTTGAAAGCAGCAATGGGAGCTTGCGGAGCAGTTCTGCTGTAGTCCCTTTGAAAGCTGGGCAGTCAGAAATTAATTCCTTCCTACTGTGGTTACCGTGTTAGGCCTAAGTCAATTAAAGGGATGTGTATCAGAGTTCTTGGAAAATGTTGTGAATTTAAACAAAAAAGGGTTGAATCCAGGCACTGGAGGAAAACTGTTGCCATTAAATCTACAGAATTTCATAAATTCAATATCTGCACATCCAGGGCAATGCAATTAACCTTATTTTATGCTATTAAATCTCTATTTAACCTATTCACCCCCTTTGGACTTCCAGCCAAGTTATCAAATGTAATCATAAAAGGAGTTAGAGTTCCTTGTATTAACCAAAACTTGTTTATATGCCTTTTAATTTCAAAATGAAAACTTGCAGAAGTGTCTTCTCATATCCTGTAATAATATCATTTAATAATCCAGCAATCCTGTCTTAAATGCTCTTACCATTCTCTTTGTTAGTTGAAAGAGGTTTATGGGGCTCTATGTGACTCACCAGCCTTGTACACATATTTACTATTTTATTTGGCTGGATGTTCAGGCTAGTTGCAAAGCAGAAATATGTGCATTAATAAAATAAATTACTTAAATAAGCAAACTCCTTACATACAAAATCTCTGCCATATGTCTAAATAGCAAAATTCTAAGCATATCTCTCATTAAATCCTTCCCCTAGTCTTGTAGGCCAAATATGCAGAGAAAGTGAAATGCTTAATGTGTGATTACTTTTTTCCTCCTGTATAACAGGACTTCTTTTTTTTTCAGAAATAATAATTTTATATTTGTGATGAAAAATATTCCAAGCTTGTAAAAATCACATGATTTCCATGGAATCTCTAAGTTTACTATAGCTCAGTCTGAAAATCACTAAACCACATGATAGCTAATTTAATTTTAAGAATGGCCAGATGATGTCTGGGTCAGCGAACCATTAAGGAGCAAGCATGCACATGCACTGAAGCTGATAACTGAAGGAGAGGCAGTCTGGAGAAATAAAATAGGGAGCACAGTCAAATCTAGGGTTGCATTCAAGTAAGCCTTCCTAAGCATTTTATACATTTTATGCATTTTATACGCTTTGTGCATCAGAGCATGCTGTGAGCTCTATGGAAAACTGGTTCTCCCCCACCATCTCCCCAGATAAACTCTTAAATTTTTAGCTGGCTAAGTTTCTTAGAGGAGATTTTTAGGTAAGTTCTCAAAAGCCTCATCCAACAGACGTCCTCAGGCATGAGAAAATTCAGTGAGTGCCAGAAACATTTGAGTTTACACTCAAGAGAAATCCCCCAAACAAACTAAAATGCTTCTTTTTTTCCATGCAGATAACTAGAATGGGTTGTCTTTCTAATTCTCTCTAGCTGCTGTGAGAGATCGAGAGAGTCCTGGGGAAAAACAAATCTAGAAATCCTGTCTAGAACTGTGGCAGCCCCATGATTTAAACTCTTTTTCTAAATCGTCTACCCTCGCCCCTGTTAGGTAAGGTTAAATAAGCCATAGAGAGCATGCTTGCTGGCCTGTAAACTCACACAGGGAAACTCATCCAGGGAAATCAGCAGCGAATGTTAGGGTATTGCTGTGTGTGCTGTTCAGCTGACAGCCCTGAGAAGACATTTCACATCTGATGGTTAGAGCAAGGGTTAAAGGCAGAAGGAATGTGCAGCGTCCCCAGAGCCCCCCTCCATCAATGGGGCCTTGTGAATTTGGTGATAGAAACATCATTGAGACCCGGTGAGACCCAGTGGTGATTTCCACATACAGAAAAGCCTGGGTTTCTGATTAGCATAGAAATGTTTGTGTCTTGGAGGTAGAAAGCTCAGCTCTAAACCTCAGTTGGAATGTCTTCCGTATCAGGAAGACTTTAGAGTCCTGGAAATTAGTTAAGGCTTCTTGATATTTTGTGGAAAGACATTATTTTGAGAAGTTTTTTACTGATAAAATAACTTTGGCTCCTTTAATGCCTCATACCTCATAGGTATTTACACTGATGCTATTAAAGCATTAGCAAAGGTGAAAACTTTATCACTCTAATATGCTGTTAGACATATATGTATTTCCTTTTACAGAACTCTACTGTGCTTGAGGTCCACGGTTATCAGATTTTTTTTTTCTTTCGTGTACCTTTAGCAAGACTAGACCCAACTGGCATAGTGTAGGGTCTTAGCAAGAATACAAATAGACTGAAAGAAGTGTGAGGTATCAAAGAAATGTTTAAAAATGGATATCTGATTGTTATTTGCATCACAATAGGTACCTTTTGTGACCTTGGTTTTAGAAAAAGCTGTGATATATCTGGGAAGTCAGAGCAACACAAAACCTGTCCATGCAGCTTGGGCTGGAGCTAAGCTGGGTGCGGGCTGGGCCTTACATGATGAAGCAGATGTAGCACAGCTGAGTAGAAAACAGCAATGCCAGCTCGTGTGGGTGTTTACAAAGAAGGTGTTATGTGAAATTAATACAGACTGGAGGTAATGAGGGAGAATTCCCAGGCTGGGCCGCATTTGTTCGGAGTGAGGAAACAAGGGCTTTGGAATGAAAATGGCCCAACTTTCTCCTCCCTCTCTCCCAAATGAATCAGCTTCTAATTAAGGTGAAATGAGCAATACTGCTGAAATAAAAATAGCCTACGGACACTGAGTAAGGGATACATCTGCAAAGCTTCTAGATAAGATTAGGATTTTGCAAACAAAAAGTCTCAGCCACTAGAAGTCAGAATAATTCCAAAATTTAGTTCAATGATTCGATCACCTGAAGCCATCTGTGATCAGCTGCTGCTTACAAGTTTGGCTGGTAGTGCGGGGTATTTTGCACTTACTTAGCAGAGACAGAGAAATGGCTTGACTGACAGTGATTGCTTTTGTGCCTCAGCAGATAGTAGCTCTCCACCCAACAAGGAGTTTCTTCTTGTACATTTTATGCCAAGTCTTCTGTGGAAAGAATGTAACTTTTTCAAAGGAAACTGCACAGGAGTAAAGTTTTCAGTTCACATTTCCATTTTGTTTGGTTAAACAGATTAAAGACCTGGTGGCTTGGTGAGGAAATATCTTTATTTAAGGAGGCATTTGTGTCTCAAGACGAGCTTCTGTTCTTCTGGTTTAAGCCCAGTTTTACTTTAGATCAAAACCTGTTGTCATGTGATGAAATGTGCTGGCTTCTTTGAAAACAGATCATAGCTTTAATTCAGTTCTCATCACTTAGGCCTGCTTTTCTCAGGAACTGCCCCAGGTGTCACCTTTAATGACAGTTTCATCAGAGGCAAGAGCAGGAGCCCTTTGGGACCTGATCTGGGCTCTAACCCTTGCCCTGCTAGGTCTTTTGGGTCAGGTATTAGACGCAGACTGATGGGAGGGATGGACGCTTGCATTTCTAGTCTGAGAGTTTTCAGGAATCTGGAGACTGAATCCACTTAGGAATATCACAGAGCAGGATATTCCAGGCATTGTTTTGCCTGGAATCCCCCGATGGCAGCTGATGGATGTGAACTCACCAGTAGAAGGAGACCCCAACTGGAAATGTGAATCCAATAAGGCTGGAAAATACAACTTCCAGCAGCTGTGTGTATTACTGTGCTTCCCTCTATAAAGCCTCTGAATGACAATCATGTCAATTATATTTTTGAGGATGATTATATTTATACTTATATTTATAAGGGGATAGTATGTTTAAAATCTTAATATAATGTCAAACTGACAATAGGTAAATTTACCCTATGAAGCCTGATTTAAAAAAATAAAAAAAGTCTAAGCCCAAAAAACAACAAAGTAGGTTGTGTAGCCTGCATATAGTAGAAAAACAGCCATGTGAAATCCACATAAACATTCATTAGAAACCAATACATAGAAGGATTTTTTGTCATCCGTTTATAAATGAGGAGATCCTGAAATGCCTTTCAGGATTCCACTTCTCAAGAGTGAAAGGGAGGGCTTATCATACTTTCCTTATCAGACCTTATTGTAACGCAGGCCCAGGTTTACTGGCAGCAATACCGCACTCCTGTCACCCGGTGGCAGGAAGTAGCAGGGGACAAGCTCGCCTACCTGGTGGCCATGGTCCTGTGAGGAACGCGGTGAGAAGGCTTTGTGCTTCTCCTTCCTATGGGGAACTCGCGGCTCATGGGGCTCATAGTGTTTTGGGATCCTAGGGTTTGAAAGTAAGCCTTTTAAACTTCCCAGCATCTCTGTAGGTGAAATTTGGACCTTGTCAAAGCAGGACTTTGC